CCGGCCGGATGCGGCAGGGAAAAGGTGGCGGGGCGCCCGGGAGCCGCGATGCGCTGCCCGGAAGGCGTGGATCGGGTCCATTGGGTCGGGGGCGCCCCGCAGAGATCGGCCGGGAGAGGACGACCTCTGGCCCATCCCTCGGCCTCCCTCGACATCCGAAAGTATTTTTCCGATTTATATATTCGGTTTTCGTGTGGACGGCGGGGTGATGGAGGATCACGGTGTGCGGTGCGCCTGGCGGCTTTTTGGCTTCTGTACGGCGCCCGAAGAAGCAGGCCTCGCGCGCAGACCCGGACGGCGGCAGCGAATGCGAAGGGGAAGAGTTACCAGCACATTTATGGACGAGACACATCGTTCATGCCGGTCGCAGGCCCGATCGCCAAGCCAGGTCCGTCGCGTGGTCAGTCCCTCATTTCGCGTGGCGGTCCCAAAAGGGGTGTGACCCGCGCCACCCCGAAGCGGGCTTGTGGAAGACGGCGCCGATCGACGTGCGCTACAAAGGCCAGCTATGGAGAAAGGGCCCTTCGCTCGTCGACAGAATAATCCCGAAAAGGGACCGGAAGGCTGCGTTGTCGAAGGTAGCCAAAATGCTGAAGATCCCGATGTACTGTACCGCGAACGCAACGAAAATGGCAAATGTACACTATGCAGACCTACGAACTCCCCGTCAACCCATCATCCTTCCTCTCTGGCTGCCCTCCCGGCCGGCCTCATGCCACCGTCCCCCCCGCTCCCGCCCGATCCGCCGCCCCCTGCTGCCCGCCCCAGTACCTCTTCAGGTCCGGAAACACCGACGGCCCCTCCCCGATCATCCCGTTGGGCGCCAGCACCCCCATCGCCTCCCCCTTGCGCCGCTTGGGCACCGCCCCGGGACCCGCGGGCTTCCTCTTCAGGGGCGCCGCCGCGCCGCGGGGCAAGCTGCGCATGCCGTACTCCCCCAGCGGGCCGAACGCAAGCCGCCGCGTGGGCGCCAGCGACGCCGTCGTCGCGCACGACAGGTCCGTCGACGCCGCGCTGTCCGTGATGGACGTGAAGCTCAGCTCCGGGTCGCCCGAGCCCGCGGGCAAGGCGGGGTCCCACGAGGGCGGGTCGGGAGGGGGAGGAGGCGGGGAGGGGTCGGCGCGCGAGGCCGCGACGGCGTCGAGGAAGAGGGCGTCGGCGGCGGGGCTGCCCTCGCCGTCGGGGCGCGGCGAGCGCGGCGGGCGCATGTCCGTTCCGTGCGGGAAATCCTGTCGCGAAAGCGCCGGTGTCGATGCTGGCGCTGCTGGTGTCTGGTTGCGGTCCTGTGCGAGCCTAATGCCGGTCCCAAGGGCGTTGGACCCGAAGGACGCAGGTGGGGGCGGTGCGTCAGCGCCGCTTGGCCGCGCATGGCCGATCCAACCCCCGTGTATCGCGGCACATGCACGACGCACCGCGGCAAATCGGGGCACTTTGCCGTGCACCGTACGAACCTCGAGCAAGGGTCCGGCCTGCGCGGCGGGTCGCTGGCCGAGGCACGTATGCGGCCGAAGTAGGCGGGTGGCGGGCGGTTGACTCAAGGCCCGCCCGCGGCTCCGAAAGATTGAGTTTCGAGGACGGCCGACGGACGCCAAACATCATCGTGGTGACCGCATCCACCCGCTCGAGGGAGGACGAGGATCCGCGCTTGGCTCTGATTGGCACCGGCGGCCCCGTTCCGAGATCAAGTCCGGCTGACGGCGATCGATACCTTTCCTAGGGTCTTCAGACGAATGTGCTTCTCAAGCTTGCTTGGCGATGTGTTTTCCGTACATGAGGTTAACTCTGACGGCCAACCCGTTCCTTCACCTGGCTAGCCCGGGGCACATTCGTTGCGCCAATTTCCATCAAATTGGTATCCCGGGCACATTAGACTACCTCTACGATGCACCACTGCTGTACTTTTTCAAGTTCAAGGCCCCGGAGGCACGAACGTCTTCATGCACGCCGCGCACTTCATGGACCCGTCGCTGCACTGGCTGTCCCAGCACCACCAGTCCTGGCACCCCCCGATCGTGGTCCTGTAGGTCTCCAGCATCGAGTAGAACCCGTTCGCCAGCAGCTCCTCGGGCTCGTAGTGCCGCTTGTACGTCGCTGTGGGGTTGTCGTAGTACATGAACGAGTTGATCACCGATCCGTCCCGAAGCGCGTCAGGGCCGGCGTCGGCTCCCATCCCGCGCTGGTGGTCGTAGCAGTACCGGGTGAAGGTCCGCAGCGAGGGGTACCCGAACACGGTCTGCAGGTCCATCGGGCGGCGGCCCACGTTGCGGCACGAGGTGGCCCGGTCGACGCCGAACCAAGACTGCCACTGGCTGCCGGGCACGAGGAGGAGCTCGGCAGGGGCGACGTAGGGGCCGACACCCCACGTGTCCGCGTACGGGTCGTCGCCGTGGGTGAGGTAGGCGTCGATCGAGGGGAAATGGACCGTGAAGTGGCTGCAAGTCTTGTCGATGTCGGCGAAATTGTCGACGGGGATGTTGAGGGGGCGGATGACGTGCTGGAGAAAGGCCGAGGTCCCGAAGCAGCCCGCAGTCCAGCCGAACTTTGTGTTGTTGAGGTAGGCGAGCATCGGCTCCGTGGACTGGCGGGCCGGCAGGTTACTAATCGACGTTTCCGGGGAGACGGAAGCACGAGCGACCACGTACCACCGTGCCTTCGATGATCTGTCCGGCGGCCGGCTTCCGCAATCCCCAGTAGTAGTTGTAGTTCTCCCAGGACGACAGGTGCCCCATGAAGTGGGCCATGTGCCACCTTCCCCAGTCCAAGACCTTGGCAATCGCCTTGACCTGAGCATCCTGCTTGTCCGCGGCGGTTTTGATGGCGGCCAGGACGCCAATGCTCTGCAACCACGTCCAGATGTAGGCCGGGTGGGCGGGACTGGTGTCCGGGCTCCGGGCCTGGTGACCATAGGGCAAGATGGCGTCCCCCGGGCCGCTCTGGTGGATGTACATCATGTTCCCCGTGATGGTATTCTGGATGGCCTGATACGGGAGGCTCCGGAGGGTCCAAGGGACGAGGCCGAGGATCTCGACGGCGTAGGCATGGCCGACCTGCGCGCAAAACCACGGCCAGGCCTGGTCGGTCTGGTCCCAGAGCGTCTCCGCGCCGCCGTTGGGGAGAACCTTGGCGATGTTGCCGCCCACGGTCAGGTTGGTCGTCCAGCCCGGATACGGCTTGTTGGCGTAGTCCGTCGACCCCACCGAAAGCCAGTTCCAGGCGTGCCGGAAGGCCGTCCGCACGTCCTGCTTCTCCGCAGCGGTCATGGCCGTGGAGCCCGTCGCGTCAAAGTAGCGCGGGGAGGAGGTGCTCGAACCGGGTGCGTCCCAGAAATAGAACATGATGGTGTAGCGTAGCGAGGGGATAGAGGTGATGAAGCAGTCCAGGAGCGTGGGGTTCACATTCGGGTCCGCGGGGAGGCAGTTCTTGGGCACGTAACCCGGCGCATCCGGCGGCAGCGTCGTGGTCCTCGTGGTGCTCGTACGCGTGGCCGTCTTTGTCACGGTGGTGGTCCGCGTGCGCGAGGTCGTGCTGGTCCACTTTGTGAGCCACGGCGGCCGGAGCGTCCGGGGCGGCGGCCTGATCGTGTACTTGCTGGGCTCGGGGATGTAGAGCAGTGGGTTCCACGTCGGAGCAACGAAGGTCTTCTGGATCATCGCGTATTGCTGGGGGCTGAGGTAGGACGGGGGAGCCCGCGCCATCGTGGGGCGGGGCAGCGTCCGGGTGGTCGTCGGGCGCACGGGCACCGTCCGCGTGAAAGGCGCCGCGGTCGAGGTCGAAGAAAACGCGCGGACGGTGGTCTGCCTGCGACGCGTCGTCGTCTTGCGCCGCTTGGTGGAGGTGCGTCGCTTCTTCGTCGTCGTGCGGCGCTTCCGCTTCGTTGTCGTGCGCCGCCGGCGGGACGTGCTCTTCGCCTGCCGCACATCCAAGCGGTGCCCGCCGGGCGCGACCGGCGCGTCCAGCGCGGCCGCGAGGTCGCTGCCTGGTTCTGCGCGGCGGGGCGCGGCCGCTTCTCCGCGCGACGGCGCCGCCGCGGCCACCGCAAGGAGCAGCGCCCCGGCCACGAGGGTAGCAATGAGAGCACGAGTGAGGCGCATGTGTGTCTGCGGGTCGTCTCTGGGCTGCAGCTGCGGCAACGCGTTTTTGTTGGGTCGGCGGAAGATCCGCTGCGGGAGAATCAATGACGAGTGACGGGGCTGGGCCCGCCGCAGGCCGCACCCGCCTCCACCGTGGAGGCGGCCGCGGCCGAAAACTCCAGGACGTATTCGACGTCAAAGTAGTTGGCAGGATGCCGAACTATGGTCCGGAATGAACGGCTTCGGGGTTGAATGAGGTTTGGGCGGGGTAGGCGCCGCTGACTGCCCTTGTGTCACACCTTGTCCCATCAGCACCACGCGATCCAAATCGGCGCTCTCATCCCTCAATCTTCATCGTCAGATGATGACAGCTTCGTATGTGGCATCCTGGATGGCACGGCGGCATCGAGTTCTGTAGCTAGCGTTCCTTCTCCCACTACCCTGGACTTTCACCTAGAGCGACGTTGGGTGCGCAGCGCACACGACGGAGCGTTGAACAAACGAAGCAAAAGTGATGCTGGGCGACTGGAGAACGAATCCGCACCCGGCGGGGCTCGGCCCGCGGCCTTGTCCTCTCACCGCTGGGTGCTCACCAGGTCGGGCGCTCACCTAGAAGGACGTTGGGTGCGCAGCACCCAACGGAGTGCGCACCCAACAGGAGCGTCGACAAAAGAAGCAAAAGTGACGCCGGGCGAAGGGAAAACAAATAGTGCACCCCCGCCGGGTCTCGAACCCGGAGCCTTGTGATAACCTCTCGCCGGGTGAACGCTCCAATATGCAGGAAATGCGGCTAAAAGTCACACGCTCTGAATTTCCTCACGCCTTTGGTTGCTAACCAGCTTCGAGCGTTAACCTGGCCGGCAGCATCCAGAGAGCGTTGGAAGAGAAGCAAAAATTGATGACTGCATGCCCTGTCAAGAAAAACTGAAACACCTTCGGGGGGACTCGAACCCCCAGCCTTGTGATCTCTTAAGGGACAAGCCTATTTAAAAGTCACACGCTGCTAACCAATTGAGCTACGAAGGTCCAGACTTTCCTTTAGAGGCGTTGTAGGCCGATATAACCGCTAGCTTCCGGTTTGTTCAGAGTGGGCGATCTAAACTGTCGCTGCAACACCCACGGAAGAGGCGCGCCCACGCCGTTTGGCCCGGACGCGTGGCAGACAGAAATAGAAGAGGTTCGTGCCAGACATTAGCCCGAATGGGCGGCGGGCATCCCGCGCATTGCGTCCGGTCCCCACGAAGGCCGCGGCGCCTCGGCCGCCTGAGTGCGCGATGACGAACCTGCGGACGGACCGGCCGACGACGGGCCGGCGGAGGATGACACCGCAGTCTGGCGCGCGTTAGGGCGGCCGTGGCCGCCGCCCGAGTTGCGCGCCTGGACGATGTGGGAGGGGTGTCCCCGCGCGGCCCGTGCCGCGTTCCGAACCCGTCGCCTGCTCGAGTTGCCATCGCTGTTGCGAGGCATCTTTCGCGCGCGGCGTCGAGTGCGGGACGGCCGCGCGATGGCCGTGGAACGGCGATGACGATGGGCCCTGGCGGTCAGGGTCTCGGGGCGGATTCCCTTTACAAGGATCGCCGCGCTTCAATCTACGGACGCCACGGGCGTGAGAAAGAAAGCGATGACACGGAAAACAAAGCAGGTGCCATGATTGTCCAGTTTCCGGAGTGTGGATACGCGATGGGATCATAGCGGCGATGCTGACAGGCTTGACGTGTTCCATTCTTGCTCCTCACTCATGCATACCGCCCCGCCGACACATTCACATGGGCCCGTTGACCACGAAGATCACACGCTAGTGCAGTAACCGAATCTTCATTGCATGTCCCTTGCCATGCTGCTTCGTGCGTCACGCATTTCGCCACACGGCTCGAACCCGTTCCCGTCAGTGCCGTTACGGGAGAGCCAGTGCATCAAACACGGACCAGGCCTCCCGATGCTCGATTCTGCCGTATCATTGTGTGGATGGTCCACATCAATGGCAGAAATAGTGGCAGATGTCATGGTCAAGCTAGGAAAACTAACGATGTGCTTCGAAAGTCTAAGCTACCATCCCATCTAGGTGTCTTGATTGGTGCCGCACGCCTTCTTCGATTGCATCGTAGGCCTTTGGTTGATAATTTCTCCACGTTCAATGCAGCAAGAATGAAAATCTGGGGCACATCGAGATTCTGGTAACGTTGCCTGCGAGAGGCAGTATTGGAGGCCGTGAATACGGCACTTAACGACAAGGAAGCCAGGAATCAATCCCAACATCGATCATAATCACGCTGAAAAATAGCTTCCTGAGCCGGAGCATCAATATCCAGTGTCTGTGCCAACAGCAAGAGTCAGCTTGCACATCTTGCCCGGCAAGATTCACAGCATCGATCACGATGACCAGCCTAGCATCCATGTTTCCGATGGCTCCGACTACCAGGGTGGGTTACGTGGCCCAACAGAGGTGGACGGTACAGGCGAAGCGGAATCTGACGAAGGCAGGTGTTCCAGCACATTGTGATCTGTGGTGGTCATCAACGCGAGGGATGCTCCACCAGACGGCCTTCCCGCTCTCGAGCCCTCGCCAATCTCCTTAGAACGTACGTGGGAACGGGGTGGCCGGTGGTGTTGTTAACGGAGTCCCAGTTCACAGCGTTCTTTGCCCCCTCCTTTTCGGTCTCGCAGCCTCGGCCGTTGCTCCTCACCCCAGCCAGCTCGGCCGCATCGCACCCGTGTAACCTTTCGTTTACAGTGGACCAGTACAACGAGGTCAGTCCATCTCCGGATTGACATTGCCACCAGCAGCTGACTCTATTCTGCGCAGATGATACAGGCTTTCGAAGTTCGTGTTGAAACAGAGGCACCCGACGATGGAGGACACATAATCACGCGGAGGACGAGGAATCGGATGAAGGAGAGGATGACGAGGAGGACGAGGATAGCTACGCAGAGGATGGCAGGGAGATCGCCTTGGTGGCCGGGCGCCCTCGCCGATGCGCACTGCACCCCACCCCGCCGACCAAAGGGAGCTCCGCTTCCCTGCGTGCACGACGCGCCGTGAGCATCACATGGCGACGAAGGAGATGGTTTGTCGGGCGGTGGGCCAGGGGACGCCTCAGGCGCGCCGGAGGGGACCGCCTCGGCCGATCCTCGATCGATCCTTTCCGGCTGCCGCCCCAGAGGGGCAGGAAACCGCGGCTAAAAGTCTTACACGCTCTGCCATTGAGCTACGGAGGTTCAACAGCAGCTTAAGCGGGGGCCGGGGGCTAGTTGTCCGCGCGGCCAGGCGAGGCCGGGCGCCCTCGCCGAGGCGCACTGCACCCCACCCCGCCGACCAAAGGGAGCTCCGCTTCCCTGCGTGCACGACGTGCCGTGAGCATCACATGGCGACGAAGGAGATGGTTTGTCGGGCGGTGGGCCAGGGGACGCCTCAGGCGCGCCGGAGGGGACCGCCTCGGCCGATCCTCGATCGATCCTTTCCGGCTGCCGCCCCAGAGGGGCAGGAAACCGCGGCTAAAAGTCTTACACGCTCTGCCATTGAGCTACGGAGGTTCAACAGCAGCTTAAGCGGGGGCCGGGGGCTAGTTGTCCGCGCGGCCAGGCGAGGCCGGGCGCCCTCGCCGAGGCGCACTGCACCCCACCCCGCCGACCAAAGGGAGCTCCGCTTCCCTGCGTGCACGACGTGCCGTGAGCATCACATGGCGACGAAGGAGATGGTTTGTCGGGCGGTGGGCCAGGGGACGCCTCAGGCGCGCCGGAGGGGACCGCCTCGGCCGATCCTCGATCGATCCTTTCCGGCTGCCGCCCCAGAGGGGCAGGAAACCGCGGCTAAAAGTCTTACACGCTCTGCCATTGAGCTACGGAGGTTCAACAGCAGCTTAAGCGGGGGCCGGGGGCTAGTTGTCCGCGCGGCCAGGCGAGGCCGGGCGCCCTCGCCGATGCGCACTGCACCCCACCCCGCCGACCAAAGGGAGCTCCGCTTCCCTGCGTGCACGACGCGCCGTGAGCATCACATGGCGACGAAGGAGATGGTTCGTCGGGCGGTGGGCCAGGGGACGCCTCAGGCGCGCCGGAGGGGAGCGCCTCGGCCGATCCTCGATCGATCCTTTCCGGCTGCCGCCCCAGAGGGGCAGGAAACCGCGGCTAAAAGTCTTACACGCTCTGCCATTGAGCTACGGAGGTTCAACAGCAGCTTAAGCGGGGGCCGGGGGCTAGTTGTCCGCGCGGCCAGGCGAGGCCGGGCGCCCTCGCCGATGCGCACTGCACCCCACCCCGCCGACCAAAGGGAGCTCCGCTTCCCTGCGTGCACGACGTGCCGTGAGCATCACATGGCGACGAAGGAGATGGTTTGTCGGGCGGTGGGCCAGGGGACGCCTCAGGCGCCCCGGAGGGGACCGCCTCCAAAGATCCTCGATCGATCCTTTCTGGCCGCTGCCCGATGTGGGCAGGAAAGCGCGGCTCAAGCCCCGCACACTGTGACAGACATGTGAACTACGGAGGTCCATTCAGCAAGAGTTAGTTGGGAATCCTTGGCTCACCTACTAGGCGGCCGGGTTTTCGTCGGGACGGCCGGTCCGTCGGCTCATGCGGCAACGGCCGGTGCATCCTGGTTTTGGGAACCGGAAACAAGGACGCGCGCCGGATCCGCCCACGTGGACGTGCGCTGCCGGCGTTGAAGCGGGCGTCGAGCGGAGGAGCGGGACGGCATGCCCGGCATTGTGCCGCTGCCCCGCGGCGGCCCCGCGGTGCTCGCCGTCGCCGTGCTGCTCGCGGCGGTCGCGGGCGCGTACCGCTGGGGGGCGAGCGACGCCCTGCGCTCGCGGGCCGCGTCGGCACCGGACGGCGCTCCGGTGGCTGCCGGCGCCGCGGACAACGCGTGGGAGCGCGGGCCGCCGGTGCCGGACTACGAGCCGGACTTCCACAACATGCTCCGGCTGCCGACCGAGTACGCCGCGCACCGGATCACCTACTCGACCTGCGTGGACTACGGCTCGGAGACCGTCGTCGCCGAGGTCGGCGGCAAGGGCGCGATCCGGCGGATCTTCCTCGTCACGGGCGTCGGCACGCATCCCGCGCGCCCGCAGTTCTGCACCTACACCGAGGACGCGATCAACATGACCCTGCGGATCTACTTCGACGGGGACGCCGAACCGTCGGTGGAGACCCCGCTCGGCCCCCTGTTCGGCCGCTTCCACCCCAAGGGCGACGACTGGGGCCTGCCCCTCGACACGCCCGTGGTGCAGAGCACCTCCAACGGCGCGCACACGCTCTCGGTGCCCATGCCGTTCGAGCGCGGCGCCCGCGTGACGCTGCAGAACGACTCGCCCCCCGCGGCGGCCAAGATGCGGGTGTGGATCCAGACGGCCGTGCACGCCTACCCCGCGTCGGCGCGCGTGGACCCCCTGCGGTTCCGCGCCGTGTACAGGCGCGAGCCCGGGGGGTCCGCCGGCGGCCGGCTGCACCGGCTCGGCCACGCGCGCGGGCGGGGCTTCGTCGTCGGGCTGACCCTGGGCTTCTCGTCCGGCACGGCCGAGGACAACTGGTACCATGGGGGCGGGGAGGTGCTGATGCTGGACGGCGAGGCCGCGCACCCGCGGGTGCTCAAGGGGACGGGCGGGGAGGACCTGTTCGGGGAGTCGTGCTGGACGACCCGCCCGTTCGGGCACGCGGACCAGGGGATGCACCACTCCGAGTTTGGCGACCTCGGGCCGCAGTTCCCCGTGCGCGGGGCCGCCTACAGGTTCTACCTCTCGGACCGGATCCCGTTCCGGACCTCGTTCGTGTTCGACATGGGCCGCCTCCCGGAGAACGACGTGGCCACGGTGCTCATGTTCTACCACTCCGGACCGCGGGACCGCATCGTCTCGGGCGTGCCGCCCGCACCGTCCCGCTACAACGGCACCGCAAGCCCCGCCCTGGACCTCCCCGTGCCCTTCTGGTCCCGGTACGCGCCGGACCACCCCCGCGCTGTCCTGATCCCCGAGTGGCTCTCCGCGGGCCCCTTCCCCGCCGCGACGTGGGACGAGTTCGGGAAAAGCTGGCCGCCC